GTGCCGCTCCCGTGGGAATCTTTATCGGGTTTTGGTTTTGTCCTGTTGGCAAGACTCAGCTTGTGGGTGCTGGGTGTTGTGTGCAACCCCACAGCCCGGGAAAAGCCGATCTCGCGGCACGGGCTTGGCACAGCCTGGCTGCCGGCCCCGCGCCACTCTCGTCGGGCATTAACAACCACGCCGGGTCGTACCCTGCTGCCCACCGGTGACGGGAAAGGCTCGCATGCCGATGCCGTGAATAACGTGCGGGCTGGCCCCTGCGCGCATGGGCCGCTGGCCAGGGACAAGGGCACTTTGTGAAGCACCGGGGTGACTGACGCTGGGGCACCGGGTGACCCACGGAGGATCCGCACTGGCGTACCCGGCCCCTCGGGCAGCTTCAGCCCCAGGGCGCGTGGTCTGCAGTGCCTACGATGGGGGCTGGGTGGGCAAAGCTGTTCTGCATCGCGGGGAGCCCATCCTGGCTTGCCGCTCCGTGCCTCAGTTTCCCCATCCGGTTTGTGAGTCCTTGCCTGGGTAACAGGCTGTGGGTGACGAGCTGCAGACTTGGTAGCATCTCGAGGAACAGAGCGTCAGTGTATTTTCCTAACGGACCTGGAAGGAAAACAGAGATAAAAGCTCCTGAATCTCCCTGTTTCCAGTGTTTGTTTCAGACGTCAGAGAATCTTCCCTTCTCCTTGGGAAAAACGTCACGTCCAAAAGTCACGTGCCACCTCCAAAAGCTTAAATACCTGCTGCCAAGTCAGCCAGAGAGCAGCAAGGTGGTACTAAACACCAGGCTCTTTGTTTTGTGGGTTGTTTTTTTGTTTTGGTTTGGTTTTTTCCCCAGTTGCTTCCTGGTTTAGAGACCACAACATTATTCCTCGGCTTTTCTTTCCGAGACCAGCGTGTTCTTTTAATGGCGATGGGAGGATACAATGTGATGCCCGGGGCTGAGCCTCCCTCTGTGCCAGCGGCAAGGGAGCCTGGTCCAGACGATGTAGCCCTGGTGGTGTGCCCGCCACCTCTTTTTACGTGATCTGGCTGATTTTGGGGCCAAATCAAGAGTTTTTCTCTGTTGTTGTTCTTGGAGGAGCTCAGCCCCCGGGCTCTGGCTGAGGCAGTGGGTAAAGCCATCCTGCCCCGGGGATGATGAAGAGGAGGTAGGATTGTTGCCAAAGGAGGTCTCTGCTCGGTCACCACGATAGCGCAGGGCTTTTGAAGATGGGTGACACTGGGGAGATGCCCTAGTGGCAGCAGGATGCGCGGCATCGCCATGGGTACCCAAATTGTGGTTGCCCGGCCTGCCTCTCAAGCATGGGAAGATGACAGGGCAGAATCCAGCCCCAGCGTGGACTCGGCACATCCGGCTCCCTCCGGTGCTGCTTATCGCCGGCACGGATGGGAACCACGTTTTCCCGCTGCGAAACCATTTTCAGGGGATTTTCTCTTGCTATTGTTCGGCTCAGGAAACAGCAATCGGCGTCGGGGCGAGCGGGACCATATAGGGCTTGGAGGGGAAATACCAGCTCCCCCACCCACATCCCCGCAGGGATTTCTGGTCCCGGCTGAGTAACGGCTGAAAGGGGCTGATCCTGTCCTCCGACCACCCCGGTACAATCCCAGTGGAGCCAGTGCAGTGGGATGGGCTGAAGCCTTGCTGGGATTCAGCATTCCCCATCTGGAGGGGATGCTTTCCCGGCATGCTGGCTCTGTGCCATCACGCCACAGTTGGCATTCAGGTGCCACTTCGTTGCTTTTGAGCGATCCAGGTGTTTCCCATCACCACCAGCGTTTTGCCACCCCGGAGCCGTGCTTTTTGGATTCACGTCCATGATTCCCAAGTGTGCGGCAAGGCACGGGGACGCCAGCTCCGTCCACATCCAGCTACTGCTGCCGAGTCGTGCCTGTGCTGTACCTTCCCAGCCCGCACTGGGGAACTTCGTTAGCACCACAATCAGTTATACCCATTGCAGCAGGTTAGTTAACAACCCGAAGCCCCCGTCTGCCGGTGATAAACTGCTGCAAGAAGCAGATGGGGAGGGGCGGCCAGCGGGCTGCGCCCGTGGTGATGCAATGGCACAGGATGCGCTGGCCGGAGAAACCTCCGGGAGAAATTCTGTGCTGGTGAGAGATACCTGCCAACGGGGACGCTGAGTTCTCAGGCAAGCGCTTTTCCCCAGCCTTCCCATCTGACAGCCCTGGGGGGCTTGGGAGAGCTCACGAGCCTTTGCAGGTGATGCTGGTGGGTGCCCCGGCACCCGTTTGCAGCACGCGAAACAGGATTCGGCCACTTGGTGGGTTTCAAGGGGGACGCTTTGAGGGCGGCACGGGAGTGGGATGCAGCGGTGCCAAACCGGGTGCCGGCTTGGCTTTGGGTATTGGCAAGTGTTCAGCTCTGCCGGCTGGTCCGGCAGCCCCCCAGCGATGCTGTCCCACCCTGGGGGGGCTCCTGCTGGTCGCCGGACCCTGGCAGGATGGGGTCCCGCCAGGCTCGACACATCGCTGGGGTGAGAGCAGGGCGAGGAGGAGGCGAAGCTCGAAGCAGCACCAGAGATGCAGTTTGTGGCGTGGGGAAGGCAGAAAGCGCGATGGAAAGGGCTGCGGGTGCGAAGGTTGTGGCTGGGTGGAGCACATGGGTGTGGTAGCACCTGAGCGTGGTGAGCGCTGGCCCAGGGTGCAGGTCACAGGAGCGCCGGCTGTGCAGAAAGACAAAGAAAAGGGTGGCGGAGCAGAATGCAGGGTGAAGGGATGGGGAAAGGGGATGCGGAGGATGTTGCCCAGCTGGTCGTGAGGGGCAGAAGGGGTTTTGGCAGCTGCGGTTGCTGTGTCAGCATCGCCAGGGTGAACCTGGCAGAGCCCGTTTCTGCTGGGCTGGAATGATGGAGTGTTTTGCAAATATGCGGAGCTCCCCAGCTAATCTGCAGGAGCCAAAAGCACCCAAGAAAATAATTTTAGGGCAGGCAAATTAGGAAACCACCGTTTCCTTCTGTTCCTAATGCTTGCGATAAGAAGCCAAGACCTGAATCGAGATGTGAAGCAGGGAGCGGAAGAGGGAACCACTCCTGTGCTGAGCCGTTGGAGCTGACACCTGTGCCCGGGCGGCGGGGCACCCTCTGCGTGCCGAGAGCCCGGGGACCCGGCTGCCAGCCTCCTGGTCCTTCCAGCCCACGGCCGGGCGGGATGCCCGGTGCTCGTGGCTCCTCCTGGTGGCAGAGGCACCAGGGAGATGGGCGTGACACGGGCTGGTGTCCCACCAGCACAGCCTTTGCTCTCCATCCCCTGACCCAATAGTGCGGGTGATACCCCTGCCCCCCAAATACTCATGTGGTCCCTTTCCTTTGTACCCTTCCAGGCTCTGCTTTCTCCTCAGAGGCCAAGCCAAAGCAGAGAGCTGCCTGGGATGAGGGTCCTTCTTCTGCTCCTTCTTTCCCCCCTCCAAGGTAGGCTGCTCCAACCGCGTCCTGCCCCCAGCGGGTGGGCCAGGTTTGGGCTGCTGGAAG